AGTAAAGACATTTTGGCAAGCTGATGCCTAAAGTAACTTTTACGGGATGATGATCTCATTTAGTTAGGTGAAGAAGGATACAAGGTCTTCATGGGCAATGAGAAAAAATGTATGTGAAGGCATAGAAATATATTGACCTGGTATACTGTGAGAGTTTAGTATGAAAATATCAATATCTTGTGATAAAAGAATGCATGTGATTGAGTACTTATATATGGAACTAGAGGAGTACTCAGTTACTGGGTCAGAAAGAGCCAGGTGAGACCAACTTAGGAGTTGGAAATGTATACAAAAACCTGTGTAGAAATACCAAGATTTAAAATCTCTACCTCAAGAAATATACTTTGGGCATTAATGTGGAGAACGGATTGGAGGTAGCTCTGACATGGGGAAGAGAGAACAACTGAGCTGTTTCTTTAATCCAGGTAACTAATAAACCAAAGCAGACATGGTTTAGAGGGGAGAGCAAGGATCTGAGCAATATTAAACATCCAATATCTAGAGGACTGGGGATTCGGGTACTTTTGGGAATTAGAGAAAAGTCCAGTAACTAGTACTTTATTTCTTAGCTCAAGTTCTCAAGCAATTAAGAACTAAGATTGAAGGCAGGAGATCAAAATGTCAGCTCTCTACGGATAAAGCGAATACTGGAGAAAATGTCCTGTCTCTGTACACAAGTGGTCTTCTAAAGTGTGAAACACAGCAATCAACAGACTCTGTAAGTCATAACCTGGGCCTGGAAACTGTCAGACCTCCCTGTGTGAAACTATAGCAAGGAAGAGATCTTATCCTTCTATAGCTAGTTAGCTCCAAAAAGAAAAGAGGAAATGAGGGATGAGGTATGTATGCTCAGGTTCTCCTCGTAAACTCACCAATTCACTGTTGCTCATCCTTCCCCTGGGAAGCAATGAACAAGATGGTGAAAAGACTAGGAATGTTAGGCTACTAGGTCAGTCTACATGAAAAGAGAGACTAAGATGAAGGAAAAAGTGCTCTGCTGCAACAGAGGTGAACTAAAATGAGGAGTGGATTGATGAGTAGGTGATTTTGCTATTCTCTGAGATCAGATAGATAAGATACATAAGAGAAGGCAGTTTGTGGAGAGAAAAAAAAAATCTATCCCCAAATAGAAAATCAATGACGACAGTCCAAAAAAGCAGACCCTAGCAGGACCAACAGCCCGTCCTCCTACAGTTGGATATACCCACATCTAAGTCACTCAACAAAAATAAGAATCCAATTAAAGGTGAAAATGATCACTTCTCACAGAAATCTGATGCATGCAACATTAGTATAAAATTTGAAAAAAAAATAAAAGGGCCAATCATTTAATTATTTTGAATGCTGATAATTTTGAAGATCTTTAAGTATCTAATTGAATCAGAAAAAGAAAAATCCACTAAACTTGATGAAAAATTAGTTTAAAATAAAGTTACAATGAGATCATACGTCACTTCTGAGGGAATTTGCTAAGAACTAAAAAACATTCGATGGTCAGATCGATGGATATTTTATATGCCTCAATGGAATATACAGAACAAATTCCTTTTAAAAACATTCTCCTAAATGTTTAAATAAAAGTTCATCTTCTAATTTAATCACTACATTTGTTGTGGCATTTTAAAGCATAATTCACTTACGTAGTTTTGCAAAAAATACATTATGTAA